AACAACTAAGACTTCCTTGAGCATGGTGGGCACATGCATGCCTGTGATTCAGGCTGGCCAAAGGTTGGGGGAATGAATCACAACATGAAGACCCTGTTGGGGATGCCTGTATCTTCATCTCTCTCTGTTACTCTCTCATGGGAGAAAATTTTTTTTTTAATTTAAATAATAACTTACGGAGATCCAGCAAGTGGCATGGAGGGTAAGGTGCTGGATCCCACATGATTGGCTGTGCGGTTTGAGTCCCAGACCTGATGGCTTGAAGATTACCCCAGGCATGTGTGTATGTATACCCAAAATTTTGAGAGGAGACTGGAAAAGGGATTGTGGTGTGGTCATCCCTTCTGGGGCATTATTTCTCACTTTCTCTCTCTATTTTTCTCTCTCCAGCAAGTACATGCAACCTATAGAAAAGCTAAACAAATACATGAATAATTTAGGGAAATTCATAAATACGTGCAACTTAATCCACTCTGGTGTGACAAACAGATCAAAAAGGGAAGTAGGGAACACATGAAATACTTTGAGAAGAATGAAATCAAAACACAACCCACTAAAACCTATGAGATACTGCTACAGCCAAGGTTAGAAGAAAATGTACTGTTATAAATGCCTATACTAGAAAAAGACGAAATATCTGTAATCAACAGCCTAACCTTCAAAAGCTTGGCAAAGGAACTCAAACACTGAACCAACAGGTGGAAGAAAATAAAAAAAGATGAGAATAGAAAAAAATAAAACAAAGAACAGAAGAACAACAGAGAAAGTATACAAAATCAAAAGATGAGTTTCCGAAAGATCAAAATTCACAAATTCACAAAATTCACAAATCTCTTTTTAAACTAAGAAGAAAAAAAGAGATGGTTGTTCACTAAAATGAGAAATGAAAGACATCAGTATTAACTGAACAGAAATCAAAAGAATTTTAAGAGACTACTGTTTTTAAAAGCATGCCAACAAAATGAATAGCCTAGGTGAAACAAATTCCTATACAAATTAATGAAACCAACTCAAGAAGAAACAGAAAATCTGAATATACCTAGAACAAGTAAATAAATAAAATTGATAACCAAAAAACTTCCAATGAAGAAAAGCCTTCAGTGATGAATTCTACAAAACTTTTGAAGATTAATTAACAGCAATCCTTTAAAAAACTCTTTTAGAAAATAGAAGAAAAGGCAACACTTTCTAAATCATCCAGCGACCAGTATTACTCTGATACCAAAACTAGAAATAGACCTCAAAAGAAAAACTACAGACTGATGTCTGTTATATAGAGACAAAAATCCTCAACAAAATACAAGAATACCAAATGCAACCAAACAATTATATTCCAACTGATCTTTTTAAAGTTTCAAAAGTAATTCAAAGGAAGGATAGTCTTTTTTTCTTAACAAATGGTGCTAAAGTAATTACACATGCATAGATTAAAAAATAGAAAACTTTTAGGAAAAAAAATACAGGAGAAAAGATATAGCACCTACAGTTAGGCACAGATTTCTTAGACTGGGCATCAAAAGCATGATCCATAAAAGGAAAAAGTTGATAACCTGAAGATCAAGTTAAAAATCTTTGTTCTTCAAAGACCCTGTTAAGAGGACAAAAAGACAAGCTACAGAATGGGAGAAAATATTTGCAAATCATGCATCTGACCAAGGACTAGTGTCTAGAATATTAAAAAAGCTCTCAAAACTCAACAGTATTAAAAAAAAAATTCAATTAGAAAATGGACAAATGGCATGAGCAGACATTCTACTGAAAAAGAGATACAGAACACAAACATTACATGAAAGATGTTCAATATTAGCCAGAGAAATGTAAATTAAGACCATGATAAAATACCATTTCTCACCTATAAAAATGGAATAAATGCAAAATAGTGGCAACACAAAATTTGGGGGAATATACAGAGAGATGGGAATTACTCACAAAATCCTGAGGTAATGGAAAATAGTACAACCCTACTGAACAACAGTTGGTCCATTTCTTGTAAAACTAAATATGCAATTACCATATGATTCAGCCATTGCACTCCTGGCTTATTTCTAGTAACAATTTTACATAAAAAATAATACGTGAGGTACCAGCAGGTGGCATGGTGGTTAAGGCATTGGATACTCCCACATGGCAGACCATGGTTTGAGTCCCAGACCTGGTGGCTTGCTTTCTCATTTCCTCTCTCTCTCTCTCTCTCTCTCTCTGTGTGTGTGTGTGTGTGTGTGTGTGTGTCAAATTAAAAATAAATGGATGAATAAATAAAATTTAATAAATAATTATTTTTAAATGATACATGAGAGTTCATTAGGAGCTTTATTTATAATAGCCAGAAATTGAAAATGACTCAGATATCCTTCAAATACTTGAAGGGTTTAAAAAACTGTGGTACAGTCATAACATGGCGTACTTATCAGCAATAAGAATAAAGAAATTACTGAGACACCCAACAACTTGGGTGAATCCCAATTGGGTTATGCTGAAAAAAAGAAGCCAATTCCAGGTTACCTACTTTATGATTAAGGAATGGGGCAGGGAGGATGGAACAGTAGGACAGTGGAACAGTTATGAAATGGAACTATAGGACATTTATGGTGGTGGAATGTTTCTGTATCTGTCATGGTGTGATCCACAAATCTACAAGTGTGATAAAATTGCATAGACTATACACACACACAGGAGTACAAGCAACACCAGAAACTCAGAATAAGATGGGTAAATTGTATCAGTGTCAAGATACGATTTTGGCAGTGTACTCTAATTTGTAATGTGTTGTCATTGGAGGAATCCAGGTGAAGGGTTCAAAGGATCATTCTTTATTATTTCCTGTAAACTACATGTTGCGGGACTTTGTGATGACCTAAAAAATAAAAGCTTAATTTTTAAAAAGGAAAGAGAAAACTAAGAATAAAAGGTCATTTCATCAAAAAAGTTTTAAAACTAAAATGGTAAAGTTCAAATTGAATATTTTTTATTATTTTATTTTCTACATTCATTTATTGTGCATGAGATCCTCCCTTACTGCCCTCCCCAGAGTGGCCACGTTACCATGAGAACTTGCTGGAGCTCTGGTCACTGCTGGCCTTCTAGTTGTGACATGGTCCCATCGCTCTAGAAGGGAGAAGGAGGACAGCAAGGAGAGTAACGTTTAGTACCAAATCATTGCAGCTACTTCGGGACTTGGAGAAGTCATATCACGAGAAGAATAATACCCGTGTCTTAGTCCTTGAAGCCCCTCTAGGCTAGGGTGTCTGAAGAATCACACTGAGAAGGATGAGAAGATGGTGTGAGTTTAAATGAGATGCGTTCTGCTCACTTTTCTTCAGAGGATGAGTGTGGTGACATGGACATGATCCCACATGTGACCTAGTGATTAGTAGATCGGGGGTTCCAGATATGCTGGAGATGGCCACATGGTCCAGGAATTCCAATGCTTGAGCATGATCCTTGAGAGCTCCAAGCCTTGATTCTACCACTATCAACCTAGAACTTGAACCATATAAAATACTTCTGAGGATGGACTGAGGTTACATTGCTAGTGGTATATGGGGGTATTTTATAACTGAAACTGTTTACAGAAAACATACAATATGTTATGCAAGCATGGTTACCATTATAAGTATTAGGTCTTTTGACCCAATTATATTTTTCTAAAATTATAGATAAACTATAGAATTTCACAATGTGCATGAGTTTGCAATAGTTTTTTTGGCAAACATGAAGACTATGTTGTATGCGTTCCTATGTTAGAAGTAGTAGAAGAAAAGATTTAAGAAATGAGTAAAGCAGAGCTGTAACAGAGTTAGGATATAGCAACTAGTTAGTATTTACAGACTACTCAGAAACCAAGTAGCAAAAAAAGAAATCAAAAGTCAAAGGATGGAAAAGGTATATACTATGTAAACAATAACTATTAAGAGAGCTGGAGCAGCTATATGATACATGAAGAAGATATATAAGGAACTAAAGAAGCTGTTTGGAAAAAAGATGATGAACCCTATTAAAAGATGGGAGAAGGAGTTATAGAGGGATTTTTGCTATAGGGCATGTGCACTGGCCATAGAGGTAGAGAAACAGCAAGCAAGAAATCACCCTCGGGGGGGATGGCCATGCAGCAGTCCCTTCTCTTCCAGTCTCTTCTTGGGATTTTAGGCATGCACCCAAACATGCCCAGTGTGAGTTTTAAGCCACCAGGTCAGGGACTTGAACCATGGTCAACTACGTGGGAATCCAGCGACATAACCACTATGCCATCTGCTGGTCCCAATCTTGTTGATCTTAAAAAAAAAGGGGGGGCCAACTAAGTGGTATGATGGCTAAAGTGATTGAATCCCACATGGCCAAAAGGACAGTTTGAGTTCTAGACCTGGCAGCTTGAAAATCAAGCCAGGCAATCAATGTGTGTGTGTGTGTGTGTGTGTGTGTGTGTGTGTGTGTGTGTGTTTGTGTGCCCAAAATCCTAAGAGGAAAATGGAGAATGGATTGCAGCATGGCTGTCCTCTCTGGGGAGGGGGATGATTTCCCACTTTTCCCATCTCTCTCTCTCTCTCTCTGTCTTTTCAGCAAGAATATGTGCCCTATAATAAAATGGAAAAGAAACAAAAAATGGACCTTCTGGTTATGTCCATTTTCATATTGTTTTTCTGTTTTCTACTTATTTCTGCCATAACCTTTAATATTTTCTTTCTCTGCTTGTTTTAGATTTAGTTTGCTCTTCTTTTTCTTTTTTCTTAACATGAAGGTTTTAGTTATTGATTTGACAACTTTTACTTAAAAAAAAAAAATTGCCAGAGGGCATGTGTTTGCCAGAGAGACAGACAATGAGGAAAGAAAAAGGAGAAAGCATCCCTAATGGGGGTGGCTATACCACAATACCTTCTCCTCCATTTTCCTATCCTTTGAGGATTTGAGGCACACATGCACATGTGCCTAGTGTGATTTTCAAGCCACTGAGTTTGGGACTTGAACTGCATAACCAGCCATATGTGGGATCTGGTTCCTTTAACCACTAAGCCACAGGACTGGCCAAACATCTTTTCTTTTCTTTTTCTTTTTTTAAATTGTCAGAGGGAACATGCATTCAGAGAGGGAGAGGGGGAAGAAAGCACTCCCCTAATGGGGCGTGTCATGCCACATACTCTTCTTCATTTCTCTATCCTGTTGGTATTCGGGGCATTCATGCACAATGTACCTGGTGTGTTTTTTAAGCTTCTGGGGCCAGGATTCAAATTGAAGTCAGCCATGAAGGATTCAGCTCCCTTAACCAGTAGGCAACAGGGCTGGCCCTCCTCCCACCTTTTTTAAATAGAGGCATTTACATGTATAAATGTCCCTCTGCCCTATGCTTTAACTACAGTGTGTAAATTTTGGTATGTTGCATTTTAATTTTCATTCATTACAAAGTATTTTATAATTTCCCTTGTGATTTCTCCTGACCTTTTGATTATTTAGGAGTTTGTTCTTAAATTTCCATATAATTGTGAATTTTCTAACTGCTCTTCTGTAATTGATTTCTTTTTTCATTCTGTTTTAACTGAAGAATGTAATTTGTATGATTTCACTCTTTTAAAACTAATTTAGACTTGTCACCTAATATGGTCTGTCTTTGGAGAATCTTTCATCTGTACTTGAGTAGAATGTGTATTCTGATGTTATTTTGGTGTGTTGAAGAGATGTCTGTTATATCAGTTGCTTTGTACAGTTTTTAGAATCTTATATTTCCTTTTTGATCTTCTACTAGTTGTTCCTTCTAGTATTGAAATCTCCAACTATTATTGTTGAATTATATATTCTTCCCTTCAATTTTGTCATTTTTTCCTTCATATTTTGTGGCTCTGTTGTTAGGAGCATATATATTTAAAATTATTATATCTTCCTGTTGGATTAATCCTTTCATCATTATAAAATGTCACTCTTTGCCTCTGGGCACAATTTG